TTTGTATGCAAAACAGAAAGACTTTGACATCATGTGTCAAAAACTCAGTCAAGCATAAAATGATGCGATTTAGAGCAAAAAATGGTGCGATTTGGGAATAAATCGCACCAATTGGAGCCAATCAGATTACAGGGACCACCATTGATTTCAAAATGGATGTAATAAACTACATTCAACACACTGTTATATGAAAAATCTTTACAAACAAGCAAGTATCCTTGTTCATAACCTTAAAAATTGCTACAATATACAATATGATTAGTTAAGGTTCTATTCCTCCAATGTGTGTCTGCTTAAACGATCCTTATCCAAAGAACACAAGCAAAATTAACAAGGAATAAAAGCACACGTGTGCCAAAGTTTGGCCTAGTGTTGAATGGCAGAACCTTGGCATAGACCGGGCCTAGTGCACAGGAAACTCAATATTTACAAGGCCTAACCTTAACATAAAACAACTTTATACCTGCTCCTGATATGCACTATCTATCAAGAAAAATTCTTTGGTTCCCTGAAACACACACATGATATTTTCTGCATGATCATTGTGAAGGACAGACTTGGTGCCTCCACTGCTGAACCACAATATCTGAAAAAATAGTAGTTGTCATCATCAGTGAGGAGTGTGTATGTTCATGCTTAAGATGATTTCAGTTTCAAATGATTACAAAACAAATTTTAGTTTTTGCTTTCCTTTGTTAAAGAACTATCATCATGAATGGTAATGTTATTGCCAAACAAAAGAAAAAAAACCTAAATAAAAACTAGTTTATCCCTTAACCCCTAGGAATGGCTAGCATCTAATTTTCACATACAATATCACCCCTGAATCACACATTAAGAACACCAGAATAAAGAAAATGATCACCAAGTAAAGAAACCCTTGATTGTTGAACAAATTCTCCTCTCAGTACCTCAGGAAATGTAAAGAGAACAGTATGGAGAATGCACATACTGATGTTATGATTTTACAAGGGTTCAAATCATTGACTTGAATTTCACTTCAAACCACAACAAAATTGGCCAACCACAATAACCATGGAAAATTACTGAATTAAAGACCACATAAACTAACAAAAGGAGAATGATGTATGATTACCTGAATGATGTCCATTTAATAACTACCAGTACTTTCTTCTGATGAAAGGAAAACCATTAAACAACTTAAAATCATAACACCTCCCACAGGTAAGACTGGTTATGTGCAGTAAAACAGTTACAATACCCTAATAAAGCAAAAGAGTTCGGTGTTCAGGTACATAAACTTACTTCTTGAACAAGGTTTCCTTGTGTAATGTCATGACAAGCTATTGGAAATGGCAAAAGAATATCCTTCCTAGCATAAAATATAAATGTGCAAGCCATCAGTGGAGACAGCTGTTTGGAATTCTTTACAGTTAAACAAACTGCTATGGGAAAAGGACACATTCTCTACCCTCTGAAGTGAGACTAGTAGTTACCATAATTCCTGGAATTAGTCAATTAGAGCAGTTATTTCAGATCTAGGTTAAGACAAGGGGACACATTTAAGGGGGGCAGGAGGGAAAGTCGTTATTCATTTTTCTCAAAATGTTTAACAAATAAAGAAGCCTTGACTGTGATCTGTTCTGTTGTAAAGCACACAAGAGGCAGCTAGAGCATGAAAGAAGCGTAGGGAGACATAGTCGAATGTGTCTTGCTACTTCTTCATTTGGAACAGAATCATCCATCCATAAAAACAAGGTGAGGGAGGTAGGTAGGTAGGCTATCCCAAGGGGGTAGGGGGGTACAGCACTTGTTCCCCAAACATGCTGCTTCAAGTATTTACAGTACTGTGGCTAACTCAGGAGAAGTCTTTCTTCAAACAAGAATTTTAAATTCATATCAACCCCTCAACTCCCAAGATCTGATTGTCGATCCTCCTCTTAAGCTGCTAAAGATTTCCTTGTAAATCAGTCACGAGAATCTGGTGTTAGAGCAAGATATTAAACTTCTGCCTAAAAAGTTTGAGTATTCTCATTACCTGTTTGCTGGATAATGTATGGATATTATAGGGAGAGGTTAAATGTCTATCACTTCTGAGAGTTAAGAAACGCTACATGCAGAAATCAGTGGAACATTGAAAGTAAACATTAAGCATTAAAAGACCTGTTGTGAGGGTAAGAATTCCGTTTGGAAATTACCTTAGAAATTCAGGAACTGAACTTATCATATACTTCCCTGAAGAGTGTATATCGCGTACAAAGTCTGCAAACGGTATATCTTCCCCAGGAGCTAAACGATTCTCTTTTTTATCAACTTCCACCGTTACTAAAACTTCCTCACCCTCGGTAAAGGAAAGAAAATACTCGTCATTCCATAATGAAAAAGCTGGAAAAAGTCTCGCTGCGCCTCGGAGAAGAACAGGTTTTGGAACGTCAACAAATCTTCTGTAGAATTCTTCCGCAGTTGGAAATCCATCATAAACTTCTACCTCGACCCTCTTGCCGTGTGAGAATATTGGCTTAAGATGTCCCTCCAAATTACCTTGACTAGCGTTTAATTTTGTGACAAACACAAACCATACAGTAAAGATGATTTCCGTTCGTGTTCCCTTCATATTCCACATTCTGTTGCATGTAAATCAGCTTTCACGCTATAAAGAGGGTTTAAATTCGTTTCCCCGATGTTTTCCAAAACATTTTGCAATCGCGACTCGGCTGACCACCCTGGAAAGGTGAACCAGACAACAAAGAAGAGTGGAGAAATTCTGAAAGTATATCTCAAATTGAAACTTCCTTCCTAATTTACGCGCTTGGCGATCTGGGAGCGAATACTTAAAGCATGGAGTGGACCGCGCGGAATGGGAAGACTGGAGTCTTTTCACCCTGTTGTTTTCGTTCAAAACTCCAAAATAAGAGTTTGAGAGGATCTACGGCGCCAAATGCAGAAAAAACCCTTTCCAAAGTGTGACTGACTCTCCGAAGATTTGACATCAAAGCGAGAAAACCCTCCAAAAATTTGTCCCCAGGCTCCTTTGTACCATTTTGAAGCCAATGGAAGAAATTTTTTTCCCTCAATAGGAAGTACTTATATACTTCCTGTAATATTCTTGGAAAGACAGATTCGCACCGGTTAAGTAATGGCAGTCGATTGTACGAGGAGAGCGGAAAATGTTGTCTGACTCCCTACCTACCTAAAATATCAGAACACGAGTAGATGATTTTGCTTTTCTAACGATGCATGGAGTTATAAGTTCTTTGAATCCTGTAAATTTAGTACACATTGCATGAAACTTTTGTGGTGGTTAATTATACTGATTGCTCAATTCAATAATCTGTTGGCTTCCCTTGATTTTCGTGAAAACGACCTCCGGAGGTTACAGCTTAACAGAAATGAGTCCGTATCCATTCCAATGGAAATCGAACTAACTTGTTCTTCATCTTTATTTTCAGTCTTTAAAAGAAAGCCCTAAATACAGGAATGTCTTTTCATTAACTAAAGCTATATCAAAAGCATTATTGGGAATTATTTACCTACATTTGAGATACACCGAGGGGTAAGGTAATACCACTTGGAAATAACAAGAAAACAAGGTATTATAAAGTTTAACAGGTAACAATCCATTTTTTTCATCGCTTGGAATTTACATCGTTAGATAGAGTCCCCTAATGTTTAATCATATCGATCTCTACTTTTATAAACATTTACGCCATACACAGACAAATTATTTATGTTGTCAGTCTAAAATATTCGCTGTGATTCCGCCTTCCATTAGCTCTGACAATAAAGAACAGCTTTTTATGTAAGAATCTGCCGATTAGTGTTCATCATTGTTCCATATTCGCCTGCAAGAATCGCATAGATTTGCGAATATGATACCGACTGTAGCTGTTGGATTCTCTTCCGCTCCACTTTCTCCCAGCAGTCTTGCTGTAATAAAATGTCTCTCCAAATAGTGAATAACCTTCCTTTTGAACGTAAGATATGTCTTTTTGTGGTAAATCCATACTTTGCCGTTCGTTCTACTGCCGGCTTCATTAGCTTCTGTTTTCCCTTTAGTTTCTGTTGTTGCATTCATTCTTTGGTTGCCCTGGTCTCCTTTCAGACGGGTGCTTGACTGTCTCGACCTCTTTGGATCACTACAGCAGGGATCTTGTTCAGTCAAATCTGGCTCTACGTATGATGCACGATCCTCGCAGTAGATAGCGCTATTTATGCAATAGCGAAAGTCAGACCTGAAAAAAATCAGGCCCGTACGGGACTCGAACCACTGACCTCTGCGATACTAGTGCAGCGCTCTACCAATTGAGCTAACAAGCCAACTGGGAGCAGGCCGTTAAGTTGATTCGTAATAAACCCGTGAAAGTGATGAATGTGATAGAATGAATATATGAAGTTCATATATTTTGAACTGCGGTATTAGATACGTATGATGCACGATCCTCGCAGTTCAAAAAATATGAACTTCATATATTCATTCTATCTCAAATCTCGCTCTGTGGACTCTTTTTTCTTCTCAGCAATTTCTAGTTCGGAGCACTTGTCTGAATTTTTGTAGTTCATAATATGCAACTTACGACAAGGTTCAGTATGGTTGATTTCAACGGCAAGGGAGTAAAATAAATTATTACCTCCGTTGAACGGCCCGCCAAAATTCAGAGAATGTGAAAACAGCATAATCATCCGCTGACCAAGAACTCTGTAGGCTCTTGTTTTCGTTCTCTCGGCATCAGTTCCCAGTGTCGTATCTGCACTGGAGGAATGAAGAGAAAGAAACCGTTGAAAATGAGGTCGCAATTATCAGGTCTTGCTTCTGAGACTGCCGGTTATAACAACGTTAGCATTCATGGAATACTCACTAAGTAGTAAGAGAAGAAAATCTCCAACGACGTTGTAATCATTAGTCTCTTAGAATCGCCAGCACTGAAGCTTCGTAATAATATTTCCCAGAAATATCATTTGTGCGTAGCGATTCTTCGGACAACCTACCAATTGACTGCAGGCTACGGACATTGCCTTCGGGGCTTTATTTTATCCATATTTATGTCGGTGGAAGATCACCCAGCAGAAGCCCTACAGAATGTGGTGTAAAATACATTAATTGCCACCATCTTTTATTTTAAGTAGCAGGAGATAGAGAACAACTTAGACGCTAACATAGACCCTAAATGTAGACAGGATGGGCGAAGGGTGCTTTGATGACTGCCATGCACCTACTGAACCCAAATAAGACCAAACCGATGCTTTTTGCTTTCTTTTGTTGTTGTAGTTCTTCTTGTTTCATTTCAGGCGAGTGGAGGTAACCGCGCGGCGGGCGCGAGAGACTCGCTTCCGCTCTCCTGAAAAACGCCAAAAACTTTCGTATTCACTCGAATAATTGTCGCCCCGAATGAGCCTGTGATCCCGATGCAGCTTTTATGCGAAGAATTCTTTCACGAACTACACCTTGAACCTCCCAGTAGACGGTTGCAAAGTAGGGAAGCCTTGTAACATAGGAAGGGAAATGCCCCTTAAGCCCTTGTAGATCTTGAGGACTCCAATTACAAATCGATCAAGTCTTGAATACATCAATTAAAACGAAGAAGAGGCATAACCCTTCAACGCTGCAGCTCGGAGATTCAGATCAGTCCCAGATCAAGAAGGAATCAAAGGGGATCGGAGTTGAATGAAGACGCCACTGGTAGAGCAATTGGAAAGTGCCGGAGGGGCGCATGGTGACATTTAAAAGATGCTTTTGTTAGATACTGTAAATTTTCCGTACGTATCTAAAATATTTCGTTAAGGTAAAAACGAACATTTTCTTGTCGCATTCCAATTTAAAATAAGCGTTCCTCTCAAATCAGCGCCGCATTTAAGGCTCCAAAATTTAATAAACGCCGCGATACACGGTATTGATGCCTGTTGTGCAGGCCATCACTTTAAAACTTTGTTATAGTGCCCATCTTGACGTCAGGCGAGATCACGTGGTTAGTAAATCTATAATCTTGCCAGGCTACTTGTGCTTTCCGGGAATACTAAATCGGCGAAACCGCAATACCAGATAAAAGGTAAAATTTGCTTTTTGATGACTTCGTCTACCCTTCTGTCTTACACACGCGTTGAAAATAATTATTGTCTATTTTTGTACGTAAGAATACGCCACTAGCTGTGCTTCGTACGGTCATCATCGTACCCTCTTACAACGAGGACAGTTTTCTTTCTACCCACCGGCGATCTGTTCGAAATGGGTATCATCACATTTACTTCTGTTTTCGTTTGATATGTTATTCCTTTATTATGTTTCCCATTTGCTTTTTACTCTGTTTTCCGGTAAACATGATAGTGACTACGGTTGATCTTTCTCTGAGTCGCATTTCTGGTTCGCGCTGCTGAGGTAGAATTTTATATCATCTCAAAGTGTTTTTCGCCAGCTTTCGTAACAAAGGAAACCACTGCAAAGTATTTTAAACGGTTTCAAGGTCAGTTATATCCTTCAGTGCACTGGATCCGGAGTTTTTGTGATACGTCCTTTTCCACCCGCAAAATCACGACTTCTGATGAAAGCCGGACATTAGCAACACGAACTTTAAGGATTAAAGAAATGATTACCACGTTCTGCGAAAGATCTGTCGATATTTGTTAAGTGGAAAATTAAATTTCAATTGTTTATAATTATACAACAGGTTACGATGTACTCCGTAAAACAAATACTATCTTCTATTATGCCGTTTCAAGTTTTTTCAGTGTTGCTGATCTCAAACTGCGACGGCGTATTTTGTCTCCAATCCGATGTATTCTTCCTGTCTCCTATTCTATTTATGATTTGATCATCGAATGAAGCGCGTGCTAACCTTTCACTTGCATAGTTTTAAGAGGAGCCCTATTTCATTATACATGTAAAAATAATTGAACCTATCAGCCACAATTTATAGCGTCGTCTCTTCCTGCACGGACATTGAAGATAACCCGTAATTACTTACTGACTCGATTGTTTCTGTTGAAAGATATTTCAAACGCTTGGCTGGTTACAAGTATGATGTGATAACCAACACGAAAAGTGTTGAAATCGCGCTGTCTCAGTTTGTCAAAATAACGTGTCATGTTTACAATCTCTACTAGCCTTTAGCATGTAAAATATTCAGAAAAATGTCACGCGAGAAGCATGCGTTACTGTTGTATAGTACAGTTTACTGATCACATACTTCATTGAAAATGAAGTTCCGGTTAGTCTGTCTGGGAATGGGGGCATTAAAACTGAATCAGGTTTGCAGAATTTTCTGCGTTTAAGCTTCATACGAAAAGAAGGCCAAGAAGAGAATAGTCCGCAGACATGTTTTTGATACTCAAAATTTTGACTGCAATTTCAATAGTTAGTAGATTTTACTACTCAGCGGTTAACAAGCGTGCACGAGACAGCCACTCGACTAAATGTGATTGCTATTTAAAGATTTCAAGCATTCACTGACTGAGGGGACAAAGATTAAAAAACTTACTCATAAGGTGGAAGATAAAAGCCGTTGCCGCCAAGTATCCGACAAAGAAATGGAGATTCCATTGCGAGACAAAGAAAAAAAGCTGTTTGGTAAAAAAAATCTAACATATCGCGCGTTGTTCAGTAAACATTTCTATCTTATTTTTCGACAGGACTTACAAGAGAACGACGCAACGGAAAATGTCCAGCGTCCTGGAGTGCAATCCCGTTGATAATTTAGACAGTGTTAACCAAGTATTAGAGTCATACCTGGATGAACTCGACCTGTGGCAGAGGGAAGTGGACAATATAAGGATAATGCACCATGAAGTTTGGAAAGGCAGCAGATTATCGCCCTTGATCAAGCAACACCGTGCTGGCAGCAGAGTTGAAAAACAGACAAGAATCTTACCCATCGGTGGTCAGACAGATGTTGATTATATGTTTGAGGTCGTGGGGGCTCAGGTGCTTTGCAATGGTACCCAAGATTTTATATACTTCAAGTCTTGTTCTCGCCAAAACTCTGACATTGATACCAAATATGACACGTCGAGCTCATTTGGTAGGATTTACGTAAGTGAGGCTTACAAAGCCTATTTAGAAGGTCATGAAATGTATGGGAAGATATTTGCCGAGGCCATGAGTTTTGACCAAACAGAGAATGCGTTCTTACTCATTCCTGGAAGGTTTAAAGAGAATGTTGTGCAAAATTGTGGATTAGATTACACACGAAACGAAGCCCTTCCTTCTACCATCAGTCCTTCGATATCTGGGCAAGGTGCAATGAATGAATATGATGGCGTCCCTTGCCTCAAACTCGCTAGTTGGCCACGAGAAGCCTTGAGTTGGATACACCGTCAAAACCGTAGTGACGCAATTTTTCAAAATGAATGGAAATCAGAAGTTGTTAAAAATATCCCTCTATTCCTTGTCCCAACCGGAAATCCAACGTCTAAGGAACAGGACATGCAGTTCCGGCTCTCGTTTTCCATGGTTGAAATAGCCTGCTTTAAAAAAATGACAGCTCCAATGAGGAAACTGTACGGTATTGTCAAGTATGTTTTCAAGACTTTATTCCATGAGAGCGGTCTTCTGAGCTCTTATCATCTCAAAACACTGATGCTGTGGAAGATTGATCAAACGCCTGCTGAGGAATGGACATCCAAGAAAGCAACAGAGTTTATCATAGAAATGATGGAAGATGTTTACCAAGCTCTGAATGATGCTAACATCCCTCACTTTTTCGTTGAAAATTGTAATATTTTTCCGGTCCATAAAATCACGGATGAAAATGTTCTTGAATACGCAAAAATTTTTCAGAATATTCCATGTCGGTTGCAAGTGATTCTGGGAAATCTCCTACGGCAAGATTTGGGTGTTCCATCTAGTGAGAGGTGGCTGAGTTTAGCCATGGTCAAGCTGAAAAGTAGTCGCCAGACAAGGTTAGAAGCATACATAGATGGCTACTTGACAAGACTGCTCAGCGTCATTACCTTCTCTCTGACGGAGAACTTCATGCAGACCCGTCAGCAAGGAGAAGCATCCTGGGAGGAGATGGAAAGGATATTTGCTAAGTACGACCATGACCATCACATCAGCAGAATCATTGACATGGTAAATTCCTGCATCTGTCGTCTCGAGCCAAGTTCCAGAGTCATTCGTTCGAGAATTACCCCAGAACACTCTTCTTGTAAAGCAGATGAAATGAGCCGACTAGTCCATGAAGCATTCGAGGCTTACACCAAAGGAAGCTTTTCGACAGCCATGGAATACATAAGACATGCAGATTTACTTCCACAATCTTGTCATAAAACATTAGAAGGTATTGGAATTTCAGTTACCAAATTTCATAAATGCTTACTCCACGACAAACCGATACTTAACGTCATTGAGATCCTTGAAAGTGAACACGACGGAAGGTGCCCAAGATTTTACTTGGCTCCATGTTTACTGTCACAACACTTGAAAATCCAGCTGCAATTAAAGTCACTGCTACATAATAAAACAGCTCTTCAGCGAAAGCTTGATAAGCTCCAAAGTAACGTCGTCCAAGGACTGTCGCCTAACGAGCCATATCCTGGAAGACTCTCCTACAGATTTTCAGGCGTTTACCTCTTACGCGGATATGAACGATTCATTCGTGATCATGAACTTTCTGTCTCGGTCACTATTCCATCAGAAACATTCAATCAAAAACGTTTCGCCACAAATTTTAACTTAAAATAACTGACTTACTAAATACATTAAGTGTAAACGCTAAAATTCAAGAATCAAGGCGTCTGTGCAGATTTGCTTAGAAAGTGCAAAATTCATATCAGCCTTGAGTGAAGGGTATTTTGGCTCTAATGAAAAATGGGAAAATTTCCGTCCAAACAGAAGTTATCTAATCTTTTAGGATACTTTCTTTCAGCGCCTTAAGGCAGCAAAGGCGTTGAGATCTCGTCTAACCCGGCAAATCCAAGGAGAAAGAATTGGCATGTCTAGAGCGTTTTCCTCCCATAACTACTCCCCGGAATTGAGCATTTGTGTAAAGAAATTGCATAGTGTTCTCCGGCAGTTTGTATTAAAAGACGCATTTTTTAATAACTGTGGGGGTATTTTGCGATAATTTACATATTTAGTCATAGGTATTGAATTCGTAAGTTACTACAATGTGCCGCAACCCTGATTACAAAGTGCGTCGTTAATTATAAAAAAAGAAGAAAAACTGCCGCAGAACACTTACCGCAATAAATGAAGTATAGGTGCCATTTCCAAAGAAATTCACCTTCAGTCTCTTTTTCATTTTTCACTATTCTGGAGTCGAGTCCTCTTAATCACAGACTATGAATACAATATCATATTTTTCTTTTCTTTCGTAGGCAGTTTCCTTGGAAGTCTGACATGATAATGCATTTAAGTTAGTCGATTCTGTATTGAACAGATTAGAACAACCTACGGCCGAGCAAAAAAATATCCCAGGGCAAGCCCTGGAAAAGCTCGTAAACCACGAACTTACAAGCTTTCCTCGGGTTCTCCCAACATCCCACGTTGGTTTATCACGTTAAAGAGCCCGGGAAAATGTGTTCTATTGCTAAGTAAACAGAATGTGTACAGTACTTAGAAGCGAGAACCACCTAATCTCTCTGTAATTTTTGTTCCTCGCAGTAATATGATTAAAGTATTCGGAGACAAGTGCTAAAGAAAAGAAGGAGCTTGTTATTATTAATTAAATTTAGTTTCGTGAGAATATAATCCGTTTGCTGGAAATAGAAGAGGGATTCAACTGAAGTGAATTTCTTTCATTAACAACCATATCTGTAAGGTGAGAGGAACCCACGTAATTGAATTTCGCCTCCAGCTTTATTGATTTAGCAGGATCTCTTGTGCCAGTCCACACTTGCCCTAGTTTTTTAGTACATCTGTTGCTGATCATAACCTACGTCGCTTTTTTGCGTCGTTTACATTTAAAACTACTTCTCTGCACTACCCTAGTTTTTATAATAGTTTCCTCAGTTCAGGTTTGTCCGCTATGTTCTCACAAAAAAAACAAAGATTGTTATTAGCCGGATTTTACCATGTATATAATGCTTTCCTTTATTGGCTCATGAAGCACTTGCAGTTTCAGTTAAATGGCTCAATACTGCTTTTGTTCTCTTTATATCTTTTCCAAAGACCGACACAGAATCGAACATCAAGCTGCAGACGAGTCGTCAGCTTTTGCTTCGGTTCACACACTGATGTGGAAGTCCAAACAAGGCTGTAAAGTTTCTATTCTTCATAAATCAAAAACCATCTGGAGCTACAATGCGAGACGTAATTTAAACAGGGACTTGCAGCCCTCACTTCATCCTCTATCCTCTTTAATTAAATTTTAACTTCCAATTTTAATCCGCAGTTCGAATAAGATTAACATTAAAAATTGTCGGCTAAAGCTAACTTTATGACCAAATTAATGGGTACACTTACTGAAATTCATACTTGACAATCACGACAACTTTTCATTAATTTTTATTCAGCAGGTTAGGATAAACCAATTTTTTATTACCAGCTCAAATAATAATATTATTTTGGTTGTGTATCTAATGTAGGCAGAGCATGTATTGGCTATGCCCACCGTAAAGCCGCTGTGGCCCAGTGGAAGAGCATCGGAGCGCAGAGTCCAAAGGCCTGAGCCGTTCGATTCCTCGTGGGGCCGGGGCCCATCCCACACCGTTTCTTTATAATGCTCAAAATTTATCATCTTTCTTATTCTGTTTATGTTCTAGACACAATGCAACGCAGCGATGATACAAAGATTCAGCCAAGCCCCATTAGGAAGTTAAGGCACGTGAGCCAACACTCTCTGCGCTGTAAATTTTCCGCTTTTATTTCCTCTTTTATAGTTTAGGGCTAAATTTGAAAAAACATGAACGTAAAAAATGACGTATAATGGCATGTAATTCTCGAGGTTTGAAAGCTTAATTTCAAGTCTACAAATTAAGTTTTAGAACTGAAGCGTATGCAATTCTCTTTTTCACTTTCGCGTATAATTAGCACGCAGTAGTATAAATGAAGTGGTAACAAAATACATGCCTTCCTTTCGACAAGATGTCAAAGGATAGGGCGGGGCATAAGGATTTATTTTCAATGGTTTTTAACATCTTTAAAAAAAATCAATTTGCTATTTAAAAAATTGGTGACGTCTATCGACAAGAACTGATTATCGTGATACCAAGCCTAAAAAAAATACAACAAAAGCCAAGCCGTTGGAAATGAAGACAAAAACATCGATCACTGAATATTCATTTCATTAGCAGAAGTCTTAATGATTCTATTCCGTCTGCTCTTTTAATGATTTTTGGTACTTGTTTGAACAGCGTAGGTAGAATTATTTCCATTTTCATGATTTCCCAGTAATTTGCTGCAACAAATGTTTGTTTTTTGAAGGTTAAAGGGTGGTTGACAATTATCGCTTTCAAACGGGGAGCTACTTAATTGCGATGAGTTAAGTTTGCCTTAGCTCAAAATTCAGTCAAAATCAAAATACAAGCTTGAAAAATAGCTTTTGTAAACTTTTTTTTTCGTTTGGACAGTGTTGGCAATTTTGATCAACAAGCGCGTTGATATATTTTAAAGAGCTTAAAGAAATGGGGCGATTCGTGGTTGCATGGTTGTTTGTTTTGATAAACCTGAAAAATATGAAATTTTCAACTGTGTGAAAATGGAATTCATTTCCGATAGCTGATCATTCGCTAATTGCTTTTAAAAAGCTCGTATGAACCTTATCCAGACCGCTTGAATGCTATAGCTAGTTCGCACGATATATTGGGTTTTTAATTTCTTCAAAGTTTCCGCGGTTTCAGATTAGCCGACCGGTTTCTGACGGTCGTTAGTCATTTTAATTGTTCATTTTGCAATAAAGCTCAAGGAAGACGCGAGGCAATTCATTTACTAGCAAATCAAAGCCTCTGTGACCTGCGAACAGAACTGGTAAGTTATCTTTTACTCCATAGAGGGTCTTTGGATGCCCAAGGTAAGAAATCTTAGAGCTGAGTTTATTTCATAACAAGGATTGCATTTACAATTCGCACTGACTGATAATGCCTTTTCACGACGTCCAGCTTCGTGATTTGGGCTCAATGTGTTAAAAAGGCACAAAAAATCCTTAATCCTGATGCAGAAACCATTTACATCGAACTCTGTATGCCATCCTCTTCCTTTCCGTGTTGTGTACTAAAAGGTGTTAAATTTGTCTTCATTGTTATAGCTCTCATTAAAAAAAGCTATCTTAAGGCTAGAATTCCTTCTCCTTCATAGTTTTTGATAGTTTCAAGAGGTTCGGTTTAGTTGCGCAAATTGTTTTGCGGATTCTTATGTTGTATCCTCGGGAGAAACTTTGAAAATGTAATGCTGTCTAAAGCCCGGTTTCCATATAATCGTCCCTGTCGCAACAGTCGTCTCTGTCGCTTGAAATACTTGGAAGCGACAGGGAAGATCATGTGGAAACGCTCTTGCGATCAGCCGGGACGATTCTTGCGACAGAAACGATCATTCGTCCGAGATAGACTCGAGTTTTATCCTTGCGACTGAGACGACAGGAAATGACTCAGAAGCGATCGCATATTTTTAATGGAAACCGGTGAAAACGACCCTTGCGACAGAAGCGATGCGACATATCCCATGATGCACCTGATTGATTACAGCACGTGAATCAAAATGGCAGTAAGCAACTCCAACAACAACTCTACATTTATGGAAGAAATACAGCGCTATGAGTGTTTGTACAACAAACTCTGCAGGGACTCCAAAAATAGAAGGACCAGAGAAAACGCCCAGAAAACGATCGGCCAGAAATTTGGTCTTACTGCGACAGAAGCCGAGAAAAAGTTCTTCAATATTCTCTCCTTCTTCTTCGCAAAACATTTCGGAGAAACAAAAAACACGCCAAAAATCTTCTTCTTCGATCGATTGCCGCCATTCTTATTTTGGTTTTGGCGGTAAAAAGTGACTAGTCCCAGTTTTTCCACTATTTGATCCGATACATACGATTTAATGGAAACCAGTTATCGCAAGGATCGCTTCAGTCGCGTCCGTCGCTTCTGTCGTCCCGGGAAGCAACAGAGACGACTGTTGCAACAGGGTCGATTATATGGAAACCGCGATCTGAAGGGTAAGGGCATATTTGCAAACGAAATGATATTAGGCCTCGATACCATTCTAAGCATAAAGAACATCCTTTTCAAAGGAGGTAGAAGAAATTCAGCCATGCAGCTAGAGCGAAGGTAACTGAGTTGCCTGTAGAAGGTTCCGACATTTACGTAGAAATAAGGAAGATGGTTAATTTTAACAGCTTTGCTATTTCTCCATTATATTCAATTGTAGGTTACCAGAACCTAATGAATAGGGCTTTCCTATCGCCGACGATCAGAAATGAACTTAGTTGTTTCGCACTTCTTCTGTTCGAATGAAAATTATTTTGTGTTAACACTTCAATTTATGCATGGCAAAATTTCTTCACTTTTCGTGAAGTATAAGAAGTATTAAAAATAAATATACATCCACTGTCCGCTGGGAAACGTAAAGTGGTAAACAGAAACTTTAATCTTCTCAGCTTGACTTATCAATTTGTTTTCAAAATATGGAGGTTTGTAGAATATGATTACGTCTTATACAGCCGGTGCTGCACACCCACAAATTAAACCGCTGATTGTTTAAGTCAGCACTCTCGCTGTCCCACTTCGATTTCATGAAGTGCTCGGAACACCTTCAGCTACGTATGCTACGCAGTGCTGGGTTTACGAGGAAAAACTTGAAAGAGAATCAATCGCCCCTGAAATTACTACCCAAAACAAATGAACACACATTTGCCATAGTTAAGGTCCATCCTGTTCTATCAGTTACGGAATAACTAACAACCAAAAAGTATGGTTTAGACATGCCTCTGCTCAGTTCCAAAGAATTATATCACCCAAAGGGATTATAAAAAGTTTACAAGCTGTTGATTATGCTTATTTGAAAACAAAAGGTTACGTTTGATTCCAGAAATTTTAATTTCGCGACTACGCAACTCTTGTCATTCGAAAAATACAAACAGGTATTGAGTAATAACTTTTTTCCATTCAGCACACTCTAAGTTGGCACGAGATATCGTGGTGTTTTTGGATATAATTCTTTTGTTAAAGCATTTAATTGCTTTACTGAGAAAAAAAAACAAAAACAAAATCAAACAGCACCGCCCGCTGTTAGTATGTTTTCAGGAACAAAGGAATTTGACTTTCACTTTTAAGAAACAAGAAGACCTCTTTAAAAAACCTTTGCTTTTATTACCGACTATTGAGCTAGAAATTTACGAGCTCAGTGTGGATCTCTTTGTGGGAGATCTTGATAAAATTATATTTCGGGGAACGTACAAAGTTATCTATGGGAAAAAGGAAATTTGATGGTACCCCCCACCGCGGAAACCTGCTCAGTATTAAACTATATGTACCTAGGAGAGTGTTTGTAATATAATTGAAAATTTTGGCTGCTTTCGTCCACTATCTTATTAGTCTTTATCACTTTTAGGGCAAGGATTCATGCTTTACAAACCTCGTCTTACTGATTAAAGAGAAATGGTTCTATTGATAGAAACATTTCACTTAAATCAGTAAGACGAATATTATGCTAAATCTTCCTTCTATCAGCGTTCATAGCCTGACAATATTATCCACCTATAAGATCGTCACACATTCGAAAACGCCTATAGCTACGATTTGATGATAAGATTAAACATAGACGCTCTTTTGTCTCGTTCTAACAAGGGAGTCGCTTTCCATGGCTAATTTTTACGTTGATTTAGACGAAAAGCTTGTTATTGTCTGCTTCGTGTTCACTAATGAATTATCCATGAAAATTGGTTGCCGTAGTAACTAGAAATACACTAATTTGTTGACATTGCCGTAGGACTTGCATTCGTCCTATGGAAACGAGCCAGAGAGAAAACACTTGATCCCAAGGTTACAGACTCCAAGAAGCAGGCTGCTCGCACACTAGCTAGCTGTCACTTAAATCTTTTACCAGTGCTCAATTAACTTGGCTCCTTGAATAGCTTAAAACTCTACGTGATCCACTTGTTTCGAAAATCACATAAATTTCTTTTCTCCCAGAAATCCTAGTCATGGCCAGGATTCACGTTGTAATATTTTTCTGCTTCATTGGGAGTGTATGTGTAAGATCAGGTAAGCAAATCTACGACTTTTCTTTTAACCTAATAACGTCTTCTTTCTCGCGTGTATCCACAAAAAGTATTTAAATCACATGACCTTTGTCCATGTTCACATTGATGTTTCCATTATTGGAAATAGAAAGAGAAGCTGTCTTTCTGATTGTTGTTACAGTCCGACAGACATAGACCAACGAAGTTAACATCATGAAACTAAAATTCCAATTAGCAAAGCATATCAATTTTGTTTGGCAATGGTCAAATCTAAAGCCATATTAAATATCGCATCATGAGAACGGGAACGTCATGAGGAATTGCTCGTGTTTCCAATTGGAATTCACTGCTGTATTTTCTTAAAATTTCTAAACCGCAACCCAGACCTCGGATTGGGGTCAAGTTAATTGAAATTAAGAATTGGATCGTAACGAAAGGCGATAATTCCGTTAATGATGATTTGAAGTCCACATCACTTTGCCCAAGCTGAAATGCTTTGATTTAACTGAAGGCAGACATGGAATAAGGTCGTGCTCACGTATGAAGCAGTTATGTAAACAATAGAGACATTAAAACAAAGCAAAGTAAAACGAACACTATTTGCATAAACTCATTAACCATCTGTAGTGGCAAATACTAACTATTGTATTCCTGAGGCTGAGTTAAGATTGTGAAATATTTCCTAAGCAACACGGCGAGGAAAGGAAGCGAAAGGGTATTAATCTAAAAGACCTGATAGGTTAGGTACCTAAGGTAAACCATATTTTCTATTTCTAGACCACTTCTGTTTATTGGAGGTCCCAGTAGGGTGTAAAAATTACCAATCGTTGTGCCAGAAACTGTTATGATTGTCACGCCACATTTCTTATGGACATAGAAAATTCCTGTCAAACTCGACGAAAATGTATCATTACTCGTCGTAGTCCAGAGACCGCAAATTTTTAAGGTTACTTAAGATGGGCTTCCTTAGAATTAAGAACCTAATGCGCTTTTAGTCTCTGTATATAACACTCTTTTTAGCAGACGCACAACATCCTCGAGCTAGAGATTATAAACTGGTTTATATTCTCTTTTATTATATGGCTGTCTCACAAGGACTGGGAACTACCGCATTCACGAATTTGATTGGCTGAAATCAATATTCGAATTTGATTGGCTGAAATCAATATTGGTCTATACCGGCATCTATACCGGTCTAGAAAAAAAAGGTGCAAAGGATATAAAAAATTGGCATATAAGACAAAGCCATTTAATAAACATCTTATTAACCGAGCTAGGTCGGTCTGTAGGGGAGAATCTTGACCTCGGTCGCTGGTACAGACCTCACTGCGTTCGGTCTGTACTGGCGACCTCGTTCAAGATTCTCCCATACAGACCGACCTAGCTCGGTTAATAAAAACTTACTCTCACGATATTTAACAAGGTTACTTGGTAGATTTACAATAATTGACGTAACACACCATCTCTCAATGTATTGGAGACGTTTTCTCGCGACTGTCTTCTTTGTCTTGTCTTTCTATCTCTGTACGCAGACGAAGATTACAAAACCTGCCAGAGAACCTGGAAAAAGGTTGGATGTTATAAAGATCGGGAAGGTGGTAAAAGGGCCCTTCCAAATCAAATGGTCAACATTCGGGATAAAAAAAGCAATGTCTTTGTCCCACCCAAGTTAGATTGGAACAAGTATCCGGCGTCAATACACAAGTACGCGTTACATAGTTTTATAATGGTTTTATATAGCTGATTTATGGTTATAGCCGAGCGAAGAAAATTATCAGCATTCTTCATTTTGAGTTATCAGTCCTTGTTATTTCATAAGTAGGGATGATAATGAAAGGATAACAAAAAGGATCCCTTTTCAGGGGAAAATATAAAAACACTGCATCCTTCTAGCCTGATAGATATTTAATAAGAAGGGAATATGAAATGGGGGTGTTTTTCTTTATTGATTCAGTGAAAGCGTTCCTCCAGCAACACTTAAGTAAAGCATTTATATCATCCCGAACCAATATTGATGTTTTTCATTATCCTTTAAATCTTCCAAAAGGTGAAATCCTAACTGTGATATACTTACAGAATATTTGGCTCATAGTATTTAACCTGCTGGATATCAAGGTCTCATTCTATATTTTCAGCCTTGCGTGCCTGTGCGCTGAAAAAGCGCGAGAAAACGGCTACGATGCGTTTGGTCTTCAATTCTACGGCGAGTGTTGGACCGGAGACAATGCCAAAGATCGTTATTCGATGTTTGGTGCAGCCAATGTTGATGAATGCATAATGAGTGACTTTGAACCCTGCGATATCAACTCAGAACAAGAGTGTGTTGGGAAACATAACACAAATTACGTCTACACTCTGGAGAAAGGTATCTCATTTGATGTACATGTTTTACTTTTCTTCCGGAACTCTGGAATAAACCTTTTTGGTTTTCGTGAAAATTCTAGATATCAATCTGCACCATTTTTCAATTTTTTTAAAATCTTTTTTATCTTTTAGAAAATTGCAGCTTTTCCAAATGAATGCATAGATGTTATTAAAGGCTTTAGTGACACTCATGCAGTTCTCTTTCTAGGTCTGAGTTATTTCTATCTCGGTTTATTTCAATACACTGCGTTAATATTTATTTAATTCCTTTCTTTTCATGAAATTTTAGAACAAAGCACGCCCACTGATGGAAAATGGAGCGATTGGGGAGACTGGACTCCGTGTGACAAGACGTGTGGGACTGGTAAACAGGTTAGGGAGCGGACCTGCACCAATCCACCACCCGAAAACGGTGGCAAAGACTGCGTGGGGTCAGGGGAGGAAGTACAAGATTGCAAGCTGACTAATTGTCGTAAGTGTTTACATAAATCTTAACCTAATGCCACCAGTGAAAATCATCTTATCCGTTGCTCTTTGAGCTGTACCTGACGCGTAAAACCTCGGATTGATTTATGTTCCTCTCCTCGAGTTCGATCTTCGTCTCTCCGCTCGAATAAACGAGATAAGCCTTGTTACACTTTCTTTTATCGTTCACCCCAAAAGAACCAGATATGACGCATACTTTGTCACGAATTTCCAGTGTCTAATCTTACAATGTGAAGCACTGAGTACTCCCAGGAGTGCAGATATCCTTAGTCTAAAAAGATACTCAAAGGCATTGAAACTCTTTGTAAAGAGACCTACATGGAAGTTCCTATATCTTAGGTTATCCTCTCTCAGTGTGTCTCCTACTTCCTGATAGCATCAGCGGTTAATATAGCGTCTTGTGTTAAAAAAATAGCCATTCTTCGTGCTTACTTCTCCTAGCTCATGTTCCTAATGCCTCTGCAATCATACCTGGAGCGATAATCGCTTGCTTTTTCTCCACAAGAGCCCAAACTCAACTACAAAAATTTAGTCAGACATCCAACAGACACTGAGGTATCCGGCTACTAATTGCCTTACCATTCAATTGTTACATAGCTATTGATGGGGGCTACACGCCCTGGGAACCTGCCACAGAATGCACCAAGACATGCGGAGGTGGCATGCAGAAATTGGTGCGAACCTGCACCAATCCTCCACCTCAACATGAAGGTAAAGACTGCGTCGGGCCGAACGAGAAAACTGAGCCATGCAACGAGTTTCCATGTGAGTAACGAACGACTTGTCTTTAAAGCGCAATTTTCAGTATCTCATAAGAGGTAGGAACCTGATATTGCCTCAGAAGTATTTAACAATTATAAATAACAGTTATATATTACAATTGTTTTCAGTTGCAAGTGAAAGATTCTATCAATGTAGTAGTAAAGTCAAAATAATATACGAGATGCAGGCGATTGTGTAACAGATGTTCTTACAACCTTTTGGGTTATTCCGAGATTTATAAATGAACAGGCACAGGTGTCGATGGAATACATTTGCTTTAAACAAAGAGCAGAAAAATAAATTGGGGGAAATTGCACGCTTGTCGCGTGGTAAGCGACCTCTCGATGTTTTGTTTCTGTTTAAGTTGTCATTCGGGTCGCAAAGAACGCTAGTGGTCTCGAATAATTTAACCACGTCAAGTAATCTCGCCAACGTTTTCAAAACTGGCAGCCTTGTTAGACAAACTTGAAAGAAAACAGTTGTTCTAACACCTCAGCCGAGCCTCTACTCTGATAGATCACGGGTAATGACTAATCACAGAGCTGGCGTAAAGTATTGGTTCATTATATAGAATAACGTGGAATATCTTATATCAGTGACACGAGAAAGGGTAGTGCTGGACTAAGAAGCGGCTCTAAACCCTTCCAACTAGCATAGGGGTATGAAGGATACCTTGCTCACTAAAGAGAATGTTTCCATAAATCTTGAACTAAAGGGTTAACCTGTTATCTGATGCAATATCCACAACTTCTTTCCAGGTCCCACCCCATGTACTCGCACACTAGATCTCGCAGTGATCCTGGACGCAACTAAAAGTGTGGGTAAAGCCGAGTTTCAGAAATCCAAGGATTTCGCATTAGCGCTTGTGAATAGCATGAACATCGCTCCCGGTGGATCGCATCTTGGATTAATGGTGTACAACATTAACGCCACGATCCTAACAAAGTTTAACGAGGAAGACAAGCAAGATCCTCTGATCGTTAAAAGTATTTTAGACGACACGAACAAGCTCCTTGGAAGAACCTTCACAGACAGAGCCCTGATCAAGGCAAACGATGAGCTCTTTACCGCTGAGGGTGGAGATCGACCTCAAGCACCAGATGTGCTTGTTTTGGTGACTGATGGACGAACCAATAAGGACAGTGTACCATACGATGTCGTGCTTCCACCACTTAAGGTTGGTTTGATAATTTTTTCCTCGATAAGTCTTCTGTAACCAGGCAAGATTTGAGTGGGCAACTCTTCAGCTATTCGGCTCAGAATAATTTCATTTGATTTGGATCCGCAGTTTTCGCGACCTGCAAACTCATGCATTTATCATCTAATCTATTTTCTGTTAATATAAATCTACTTGCTTTTTATCACAAATGCTGCAATCGGATTGGCTACGCTACTCACTATCTAGACAGTGGGAAAACACTAAAGAGGGTTGTAAGTCACTGTTCTTTCGGCTCGATGTATATACACAAACCTTTTTTGCGTTCAAACCACTGTCCGTGTGGGTTGATGTCTGATGCCGGGAAACTGATACTTTTGGCGAGTGCTTTGTGCGGTTTGATCAAAAGCAAAAGCAGCAAAACTGCAAAACAAGTTGCACGACAAAACTACCCGATGTAACACCTCAAAAGGGTTCTCACATGGTCATTAGGCCTTATTGATTTCTTCTTCGCAGGAAAAAGGAGTCAAAATTATTGCTGTCGGTGTTGGTAACAATATCAAGCACGAGGAGCTGAAAACGATCGCTATGGGCTTTGACGAGAATGTCATCCAATGTAAGGATTTTGAGAAACTGTTCGACCAACTGCAGGAAATCATCGATTCTTCCTGCGAGTCAAAATGTAAGTGACATTATATTATTACGAGACAATAAAAAATTTTCTTACTACGCGCTTTGAGATAGTCCAGAGCGGTTATATCGACATGAACACCACGATGAAAAGTCAAACAGTTCCCATCACTTGTTTTGGGAGATGATGTATTGATAACTTGGATAGATGTCAGAGTCTGGGCAGTTTGGCACCTACCCGTCCCCTAATCCATCAACAGTCAACTGATAACAAGGGAGGGTTAATGTTAGAATAGAGGAGGGGTGGGTGAGCAGTTGCTCAGATACTGACGTATTCATCCGTTCTCTTAAGGAGGACTTGTTCATCACTTCAAAGACTGAAAGATTAAAGTTGAGATCGTTCCTCAACCCTTGAAACAAACTTGGATCGGCATCTTGTGTTACAGTCAGCTCAGTTTATTTTATTTCAACGCGCTAAAAGAGGAAAATGACATTCAAATAACTTTCTTTCTAACATGAAATCATTATTCTGTTTTTACTTTTAGAGGGATCATACCAGCAGTCACTAACAAGAAGCATCAATTTTTGCCGTTTAAAATAGTTTAGAAGACTATATATACACAGGGATATATCAATAAAAGGAGAAAACCAATGAAAACATCTCGTGTACTTTTATTAGGAAAAAGTGGACATAATTCTTCTTTTCCTAGAATCCATCCTAGTCAAAACGCCGATTTCTGAAGCCTCAAAGAAGGCCTCAAAGCATGCTGGTTAAATGTGTGTTGATATTTAGGGGTTAAGGGGTACATGTTACACAGAATACTCTGTGCTGTTCCACCCCCGTGTATACTTCACCGAAACGGCCAAAATGTTTAACGTTCTTCAACATTCGCTCTGACACAGGGTTAACAATCGAAACGTTAGCTCAGAAGCTATTTACGGTGGCCAATCTACATAATCAACTCATGTACATGAAAGCGCAGTTGAAAAAACCAAACTATTTTTCACAACCGTCGCCAATGACAGAGATCTCTCAGCTCCGAGCTTGTTTCGTTTTCTTCAGCATTAAGTGATCATCTAGAAGATCTCTGACGGAAAGACGTCGTTGATGTGTACATGTCTTGTTCAGGAACTTTGAAGAAGAAAGAATAAAGAAAGAAACATACTCATCCTGTTACTATCACCACCTTGCTTGATCTCAGGCTGATTTTCCTGGAGTAGAAATGTGAGAATTTTTCAAGAAACTCATGAGTAATCTTCCGGCTCCTTCGCCCAGTCGAAAGGTAAAAATTCCCTTCCATTAAAGACGTCATGGCCTTCTCTTCTTTGATCAGCGCGTAGTTCGGATAACTGTTCCAGGAGCCTTGGACAAGTTCTTATCAGGTGATTCTGTGAGCCACATTTGTGACACGTTCGTTCGACTCGCCTCGCAATCGGACAGTTTTTCATTCTGTGTCCATTCGTGTTGCAGTTGTAACAAAGACTCGTGTATTTTCGCGCGCCTTTCTTAACGCGGCATTTTCGTGACAATCTTCTGATGTTTCCGCCATCCGGGGAAGTCACATACACAGCAATCGTTCCTTTATCTGAACTGACAGTTTTGAACTTAACTTTTTCCCCTTCCTCGAGGCTACGGTATCCTTTCGATTTTATGGCGCTCTGAAAAATGAAGAAATTGTTAAGTAAAAACAGTTTCACACAACATCTGCAGCCATATAGAAGCTGCCGTGGTTGACTGCAGTCAGTTTAAAAGAATTGTACTCCATTGGGTATCGGAAGCGCACGCAACTACCCCTCCGAGCTCCGAGATAATCAAAATAGTATTCAGTTTGTTTCTAATTGGCTGAAATTAGTATTTTGACTCTAGGGCCCAGTCTACACCGCGCCAGATAAATAAATGTTTTGGAAGCACAATCGTATTTCCACTGTCTGGCCCACTTTCTGAACTACACTATTACAAGTCAATTGTTCACTGAAAACGTAACCGAAAACGCTCTTCAGAACGGATGGATTTAAAAACACCAGCTTTCTCTTTAGGCACGGACGCAAAGCAGTTTTAAAATTGCGCCTTTCGAAAATCCTTACCAATGTGCTTTATTACTTTTTGCGGTGGGTCAGTTAGACCCTTACTTTGCGCTTTCCCAAATATGTAGTCAAACGATTTTAGGTACGGCGATCCTTTTGGTGTGCACGGAAAACAAATATCAGTTAACAAGTGCGTACAGGAAACTTTAAGTCGTTTTTAGAGTGAAAGCGCCTTCTTAAAATTAATCTTGCACATACTCTTTTATTTCGCCCTTTCATTGGATGGCGCTGAGCTTGATACGAAACCAAGTAAAAACTCGATTTATAATAGTAATCAATTTTTGCGATCTCAGAAAAAATAAAACTGATGACGAAAAGTTTTTTGAAAAAATAACGAGTCATCATAGAACTGAAACAAGAAAGCTTGATGGCATCACGAGAGATATACAAAAACATTAACAGACTAAAATACAAACATTCATGTTTTGCGGGAAATGCGTTCATATAACCTCGAGGGTCCAATCTCTCTTCTACGAAATTTGATCGATGGCGCCTTCCTTTTATCGTTAGTGTTTTGTTTTTCTTCATGGCGTATGCACGCATTAAGGTGAATAATATTCAAACCGCAAGAAATATTTACAGCTGTCTTAGGTTCAATAAATTTGAGGCAGAGTTCGAAATTAGACGAAATTATAAAGGAATTTTTTTAAAAAATACATGCCAAAATTACTCAAAACGCTTTGAGTGAGAAATATTCTGTACATAAAATTGTGCATGTTTAATTTCTACACGCTAATTCTTCGAAAAAGAAAATCGTATTGTGGAGATCAAGTTTCGACGGCTTCAGGAGATGAATAGACTGAAAATTAAATTAACTGCGCGATTGGGGGCTATTGTGGGAAGAGTAGACAAAACAAAGGAAAAGAACTAAGCCCAACCAAATTAAAATTGAAAGCGAGTATTTCATCATTGGTAAACTTGTAAACTGAATCAATATAAAAATTACGAAGCGTCGATGCAAGCAAACCATGCCGAAAATGAAATATTTCGTAAAAAAAACGGAAATTTTCAAAAGAATGGCCGTTAATAAACTACAGGGCTTTTACGAGAAAATTTGAAAACCGACTTCTCTAATTAATGTCGTGCTTTCAAATAAAGTTTGACAAAGATATGGAAAACAGAAAATATATGTTGATTGTGTGACAAAATTCCAAAGACAAAATAAATCGCCGAATAGGTAACTGTCACTTTTCTTCTTTTTTTTTTTCTTTTTTTTTTTCAGATAAGCGAAATTCGAGCCGGAGAAATAATTATCGTTAAGCAATGAATAATTGATTACTGGAAGTGCTTTTCAAAGCACAAACACAAAAATTTTAGTAATACTTGTACACCGCAAAAATACCCAATATCATCGCTGATGCAACATTCAAAACGAGACAGTCCCCTCAACAGCGAAAAAACTCAGTGATTACATATTGTATTTCTTAAAAAAAACTTTTATGTCTTACCTGGTGAACAAAGACATCTCCTTTCGCATCGTCTCTTGTAATAAAACCGAACCCTTTGGCAACATTAAACCATTTTACCGAGCCAGTAATTGGCTGATCTTGGCCTTCGGTATACTCGCCTTCTGTGAACGAAGAGTATTTTCAGATTTTGGTACGGACAGAAGAATCCCGAGCACGCAACCAGCTGTCAAACAAAGGCATGCCTTTGTTAGCTGAGAAGCTGTAATGTGTGTCGGCCTTAAATTTGAGTTTCTTAAGCAGGGCTAAAATAATTAACCCAGCTAATATGAAAACCTCTTTAAAAATTTCAGAGAAATAATTTTTTTAGGCTTAAGACAAAGTCTGAACTTCGAGTTTCTTGGCAGGAAAATGTTTACTGCTTCACAATGCCTCTGTTGCTAACCGCGAACAAATGCTGTACTCGATAAAGGTTTAATTTAAAGAAAACTTCATCTCGGTTTACGTAATGATTCGATTTATCAATCAGAGCTAAACTGTACCAAAAGGAACGCTGGAAAGCCACAAAAATGTAATATTAGAAAATAAAAGAGATCTAGATACCTGACATTTGTCCAGAAGTCTTGTATCACAAAAACTGAATGGAATCGTTATTGAAATATGCGAGCGATCTAAAGGAATACATCAAGATTTACCCAAATGCGGCGTACATTTCAGTGGCCATTTCTGTCAAATAGCCGCGGAGCCTGACGAAATCCTTCTTATCTATCACTGAATTGTGGTATATCTAATATCTCGAAGCCCTGGGCTTTCGTTTATCTATGAACCAATGGAAAAACCCATCTACGACTCTTGAGTAATCTTATTTCAGCGCCACAAAGCAAAGAGTGTCAACAATAATATAAAAGAATAACTGATTTATGGCATGCCTCAGGAAAATCTGCATTCGATTGGCTTCTCCTGATTCCGGTTTTTTTTATGGCGACACAAGCAATTATTCAAAGCTGTTCTTTGATGTGTTATTCAAAACTGTTCTTTAATGTGACTCGCGAGAAGTAGTGGTTCTCGCAAAAGAGAAGTCATTTTGCCACTGAAAATCGTGAATCAATTTTCAAGGATACGAAGTAAACATAGTTGATATCCGCGGGCAAAGAAAAAAACACCAACAAAATTTGATCTTTTGTGAGCATTGTACAAAAAACTCTATGAATATCACATGGAATGTATACTTGTTGGCGGTTTTACTGACTGCTGCTACTCAGGTAATAACCGTTGATCCTTTTCCGTGGTTCATATCTGCCAATCCATGCACTAAAGGCCATGGAGATTATATGCGATAACGCATTTGTTGGTCGAAGGCAAGATTACTGTGGGAAAGCTATAAAAACACATTAAAATAATCCAGCTGTTGTCTTCGATGTCTTCTGTAGATGATCGAAAATGATCAGCGGGAAAAATCACCGTTCTTTTTCTAGCCTTGGTATCCTGTTGTTTTTTTTTTAATGAACTAACCGTGATAACAAAATTATTCGCAATTAATTGTCTGAAATTTATTCCAATCTCAAATTTCGCTTAGTAGTTTACATTTGCGATAGAGTGGTTAATAGAAAAATTATCAAGGCCGGCATGATAGTAGTGTGACAACAGAATAAGGAAAAGCAAAGTTGGCAAATGTGAAAATGGTTGGGTTATTTTTTTTTCCTTCGCTTTGATTTACATTCAACCTCGTTCCCAGACAGCTATTCCCATATTGGAAGGGAAGAGCACCCTGGGTACGAGGTGGCTCGGATGAAAGTCGCTGTTGAGAGGAATGAGCCCACGCTTCTCCTGCACAAAGCTAAACGATGACAGGAATAACAGGAAGTTTCTACCCACTGATAGCCTACTTGGTTGGCATGTAAGGGGGGAGGAGAGGGTAAAACTATATTTGAGCTCCCGTGGAGAAGGGGGTTGGAGAAAGGAAAGAGAGAGCTACACACAGTCGATAGGAACTGCGAGCAACGAACTCGATTCGTTCACGATTCGCCCTTCACGTTCAAATGTACCTTCCTCTCTCCTCCCCTTTCTACGCTAGCTATCTCGCAGAGTCAAACTATCTGTGATACCCAAACTTGTAAAAAAATAAAACGATTTCAACCTAAATTTATTTCATTGTCTTTTGGCTTTCAGTGAATCACTCCAGAAAACCGACCTTGTAGTTTCCCAGCAGTCTCTGGAGGAAATTCCAAGCAAACCTTCTGGGTTTATCGCTCCTCTTTTCGCCGCCGGCGTTTTTCCAGGGGTCTTCGACGTTAGATTCCATTATTCCATATCCGTAATTCTTAACGACTCTATCGACTTCCTTTTGAAAGTTTGTGTGAACTTTCTGTTTATTTAGAATGGGTACAATCATGTTGAATTTATCGATTTTTTTGTTAGTGTCACGCAACTTGTCGTGAAATACCTTCAGATGACGCTCCCATTGATTGGTTGAAAGCAGAGTCAAAGGACTAGGTCCCAGTTTCTTTCGTTTCTGCAAAAGATTCTCTCTGTGCCTCTCAATATCAAGTCTGATCTCTTTTTCAAGCGCAATCCACTCAGGTGCAAATCCTGAATCTATCAGTACTTTATTGAGCCTTCGAGTGGTTGAATCTGAAAGCATCATGTAAAGAAATAAAATATCTATGTAATTATATTGACTGAAGGGCACCCAAGCAGATAAAAAAAATTGACCCCTTGTAGAATATTTAGTTCTTATTAACCGAGCGGGAGGTCTGTATGGGAGAATCTTGACTGAGGTCGCCAGTACAGACCGAACGCAGTGAAGTCTGTACCAGCGACCGAGGTCAAGATTCTCCCATACAGACAGACCTAGGTCGATTAATAAAATGTTTATTAGAAGGCTGTGTCTTATATGCCAATTTTTTATATTCTTTGTGCCCTTTTTTTTCTAGACTGGTCTAGATGCCAGTCTAGATGCCGGTCTAGATGGGAAAATCTAGACTGCTTTTAATATTGATCTCCGCCAATGGAATTCGTGAATTCGGTAGTTCCTAGTCCTTGTGAGACACAGCCATATAATAAGGTAGAATAATGAGGTCTGCAATATCCTTTACTTAGTTCTAAAATGACTCTTGCCAGTATGTCTTGATAAAACATGAATAATATATGGGCAAGGAATATGGTGAAAAAAAAAAAAGATGGGAAGGGGAAACGGAGGAGAGGTCTCCCCCTGGATCTTTCTCCCTGACCATGACATCTCAACTCTTAAGCCAGCCACATTGACTGCCATGCTATGGAGATGACTGAGGATGAATCATGTTTCCACCCCAAAAGAACACAACCTCCTTCATGGTTTGATACCAGAAGATTTTTTTTGCTGTCTAACTACTTGCTATGATAGCACAATATCCATAGAAGCAGTTCATTGCCACACCAATTGAGGGTCTGTTACCTACCAATATACACATCCTGCTCCAGTTTCAGTGGTTTTCCACTTCCCGCTAAGTTTTTAAATTCTCCCTTAGACATGGCTTCCTGAATGAGGTCCTCTACTAATCTGTCTATGACTTTGGAGTGCTTTGACCTTCGTATAGCCCTTTTTTCAGGTTCTGCAATGGATGTTTCTTGCTCTCCCAAATGCCCATATTTATGATCAATCACTTTGTCTGAAGCTCTCTGCACTCGGTGCTGTTGATACTGCTTCTGTCTCTTGGAGGGTGAGCCAAATCCAATTCCCCCATATTCCAGGTATTGCCTGAAGATAAAAAATGTAATTAGACAGGAAAGTTGATTAATGCCCAAGTTTGATGTCTTGTAGAACTGGCCCAATGTTTAGGGCTATGATGAATGTCATCTAGGGCCTGTTTCCCGAAAGTTCCGGTAACTTTATGGACCCAAAAGATAGGAAAGCAGGTTCCCGCACCCAAACCAGTCCTTTTAGCTTCTTTAGCTGATATTTTTATTTCATCATTTTCAAAACTTTTGAAATCTCCATCTTGAATGAAAACAGAACAGCTTTATGGGCCCATTAAGCTACTGGGACTTTGTAGAGACGGGCCCCTGGTCTTGTTTGGAGCCATGATAAATGTAACCCTTAAGCATACGGTGTATGCATGAAAAATACCTGATCCCTCCCATAAGGCTCTGTAATATTCTTATGATCTAGCCTCATTGGCTCTTAATTGGCTGTCAATTTTCTTTTGCCCCACACGATTCCCCAAAATCCACTGACCCCCCACTCCCTCCCAAGCAATTGACTTGTCAAGGGACTGATGAGAAAACATCTAGTAAACAACCATAGTGTTAGAGTTGACCTGATGTGCTAAACAGGAGATTTTAGGAACTTCTTTAAACAGGTTGGTTTCTTCCTGATTGAAGAAATTTAGATTACTTAGACAATCACACCCTAAATCTTTGATAGGACAACAGAATAAATCTACCACCACCTGGCACTAGGAAGTGTCCCTCGTAATTCTTTTGCATTGGTTCACAAAACAAACAAACAAATAAAGAAAACAATTATTCATTTTGTCGCCAGTGTGGGACAAACAAAAAATTGGAGAAAGTGTATGAAATTGAACCTCCTCTGGAGCACAGAATCTGTGTTAGAATCTCCATGTTACTTCTCAGATGTTTTTTCTTAGATCCACTCTCGCAACAAGACGATATTCTATTCTAAGACAAAATAAACTGTTAATTAGATCAATTATAATGACAAGTGATTGTGAATCAAGAACCTGCTTTGTCTAAATCTGGGTCGTGAAGACTTTAGGGTCTCAGAGGCATTGCCCAAGCTGAGCTAACGCTGAGCCCTCCCCACCAAACCATTAAATTCCTACTACAAGATCCCCTCTAACCATTCATTGGTCAGAATTTTTAATAACCACCAGCAGCCGGTGAAGGACAGTACCTATGTTGCGGTGCCGTGTGATGAATATCGAAGATCTCTTTTTCGAACTCTTGATCGCTTACTTCTGAGCCTTTCTGGGACGTACGTGTTACATGATCCATGACCACTCTATAAGCCTGTTCTATTTTGGAAAACTCTGTGGCATCGGCCGTACTTCTCCCACAATCCGGGTGATATACCTTGGCGAGCTTCAGATAAGCCTCTCGAACATCAATGACAGTGGCACTCCAATCTACTCCCAATATAAGATAGCAGTCCTTCACCTTTATACTCCGTTCCCAGGTGCATAGCATACGGTATTCGAGTGTGAAGGGGACGTAGCCTTGTAACTTCACATATGTTTTATTTCTATGGATGCACGACAAAATGGAATGAAATGTACCTGAAACTCGGGAAGCCATGTTTGTTGCTGATACAGGGGTTGTTACATAATCTTTGTTACATAAAGTACCTTTCACCAGTTATAGCAACCGCTGATGTGTAAAGAATCCTGTCTCGTGGACAGTATTAGAATTAGCTTCCTGGACGAATTGTTACTCGCTGACTGAAGTACATTTCTTGACAAGTCGGTGGGAAAATGTCGTCATTTGAGCATCATGCAAATTAGTGAGTGACACAATAATTTGGGAAAGGTTATCTTTAAAGATTTCTTGAGGTTAAAAAGAAAAAAGGCTCTTCCTAGCAAAGGCGTTCCTCTTGCTTACACCATTGGTACAACCTATCGTCTTCCAGTTGTGTGCAATCCTCTGAGGAAATGTTAGAAGCGCACAACGTAGAGTTTTTAATGCACGGGATCGTAAAACAATAACTAGCTGAATATTTCAGAAGAAACGCCCAGTTCTGTACGGCAGGGATCGGTATCTGCTTCGGTAGATAGGCACGTCGGCCTTTCAAGCAAACTTTTCCAACCTGAACTGTGACGTATGCAACAAACACACCAACTAGACGCTCATACACTGGGTCATGACGAGAGAAAGGGAGGCGGGTAGGGAGCTGGAAAAAACTTGCCTTTTGTTTGCATAAACAATAATTGGCACCACTGCTGAATCAGAATGTCACTGTTTAATACGAAACAGTACAATTGAGAGTGAAGACTTGAATAATGATTATTTTGGGTATGTAAATATAATCAAATCTATAAACATGAACTTAATTTTAGCGCTTCTATCAAACAAGTTGAAATAAGTTATTCTTTGGATTAATACGATAACCAGTCCGCTTTGGATGTTAAAACCCTAGGGAAAACCTTGAACTAACAATGCAACCTACACAGTGAGAACCAGCCACCAACTACTAAGGGGTTAGGTTGAGGGCAAGGCGAGCAAAAAATCTCATCATTTTCCCCGCCTTCTACCCCCTTCTGCACAGCTCTCTTGTTTATCACAGTTTTCATGGGACAAACAGATAATCAGCAGACGAACACAGAAAAATAAGAATGCTACGGGCAGTCTACCGATTTTTTCCCTCTAAAAATCGAATACAGTGTAAAATATTCGCACACGTTTGAGGTAAAATATGGAATCTATATATCTCATTAGACGTTTTAATGTGTAGTATCGCTGAGTATTTTTACGAGTTGTGCCGTATTTTGACGAGCCCGGAGGGCGAGTCAAAATACAAATAACGAGTAAAAATAATCAGCGATACTACACAACAAAACGTCTAATAAGTCATTTATTATCCAACACGCCAAACTGTTATTTCAGTGCGGGCGAATTTCGCGGATATTTATTTACGGGGAGTGCGTGACAGAAGTATGCGAAGCGGAACGGAATTAGCGCGTTATCGTGTTGCTGTTTCTACTTTCTTCAATAAATGAAGAAATTTCCTGGTCGTCTAGCTGTTTTTCTTCGTTCGATTCATCTAATAAACTTGGATCTATATTTGCCAGCCATTCTGACTCTTGGTCGTCGGAAAAATGATTCAAATTGTCCGCCAGTTGTTTTTTCGTAATTAGAATCCAATTCTTCGCTTGCGCGATGCGAGAAAACCTGTTTAACCGGTACTCTAGAGTACAAATATCGCGTGATATTTGTACTCGTCTACGGCGTTATTTGTACTCTACGAAGTGTAGTTGGATAGTAAACTGGGTTATAAATACCATGAGGAAAAGAGCGTAGAGAAAATACCTGTAACCTCCACAGTCTACGAGCAGTAAAACAATGTTAAGCTTTGGGTGATTTCTACAAGATACATAATATACCTTTATACCACGAATGTACGATATCAACTTATAAATATCATAAATTACGTCATGCTGAGGTTAGGTCAAATATCAACGCGTTGTAAAATTCTGCATCAATAAATGCTGAGATGAGAGTGCCCGTTATTAATTCTAAAAGTGAACGTAAAGTTTATAAAATGATGTTCTGGTAATAGAAGTAAAAACTTCCATCCGTATTCAAGGTATATAAAGTACTTACGAAAGTATGATACAAACACAAAAAGAAACGCCTACACAAAAAAAAACTTCACCCATCCCCTGCTTTCTGAAAACGTATCTCGCTGTATTTCTCCTGCAAAACTGTTTTATTAGTTTGACCGTTTCACGCTCCTCTCAGCGTTCTCTTTTTCCACTTCAATTCGAGTCTAGGCTGAGTTTTGACCAGTCGTGCAGGCCGGAAAGTCTGTTAACTACGTTGGTCACCTATTAGGCGCATGGAGACGGGCTTATGTTCTCTTCTTGAACTAATCTCGATGTCAGATTCATTTGATACAGCTCCAATGCACCGTTAAGTTTAGACCTTTTTTAAAAGCAAAAGCCGGACAGGAATGCTGGACTAAAACAACAGTAAGTAAGAGGGAAAGGCCCTCTCCGCATTCTTGATATCAGTAGAATGTGGGGTCTTCGCGAGGTCTGAATATTACATCGTTTTAAAAGACCTGTCTCACGTTTAGAATTAAATACTGAAAGTTAACATCTAAAACAACGCTCAAAGTTCTATAAAACCATCCAACTGTGTAGTTTTGTGTTTGAGTCACTAAGGGAAACCTGTTGTAAGATATGCAATGTATCTTGTAGGGAATTGTCCTCGCTCATTAAAAGGTTTTTCGCAGGATGTCTCACTTCCAAATGTCACAGTCGAGCTTCTCTTTACACACAGAGTAAAAATGGAACTTCGTCGTCTGATCCTTAACCATAACACATGACTACTTTGTTAAAGGAGACGAAAATGCCTTGGTTTGGTTTACTATGAAAAGAGAAAAAAAAAAGGAAAACATTTTTAACTCCATCCAAGGCAGCTTTACCTGACTCAACCGGGGTAAAAAACTGACACGTCGTTTTTAATGATTCCAGAAAAAAAAAAAAAGAAAAAAAAAGGGCGGCAGTGAATTCATTGAAATTGCAAGATAATAAGAACCTTGCACAGATGAAGTAACTCGCTCAATTCTTACTTACCAGGTAAACAATCTTTGACCATCAAGAGATCCATCGTGTTTACCCTCTACATATATAGATAAAAAGTTAACAAGTGCATACCACATACCACATACACAAACAATATCCTTATAAGGAAGAGCATTGTATATAAAATTGCGGAGTTTTCTTTGGTCTGTAAAATGTATACCTCAGTACATCCTCCTTCAAATACATGTCTCTTCTATGTTCACCTTAACCACTCTAGGGTCTAAACTTAAAGGTGCATTTTCCACCATTCAAAGGCTGTAATCTCGTAAGCAAACACACAAATATTAACAGCTTCTTAACATGAGCCCCGGCCGGGAACTAAGCTCAGGCCCAATCAACGGGAAAAAATTGGCTTTATTTATGTGGGAAATTTCAGCCGTCAGAGCTGAGTTTCCAGACCTATCACTGCCCATAAAGGTAATTTTTGTTCGATTTGGGGAGCAAACAAGGCGCGGTCTTTCAGAATTCGTGCCATTAACCGATGACCGGAGTGGAGTGCGAATGGAAAATTTCACAGCCTGTTCATTGCTATCTTGGCAAACAAGTCAGAAAGATATCCGATGAACGGATTAAAACTTTTTGATAGGAAAGGGCCTGTGACGCGAGTACATACAGTATCATTTTCCTGAGTCCTCGCTGTAATGTGTACTTACCTTGACCAGGTCCCAGTTCCAGTCCGATATATGTGTCTCTGCGGCCTGGTATCGGCCCGACATACCTCACTACTCCACGGCCAATCTGTCCACGTGACCTAGTCACTAGCACCTCCATACCCAGTTGGACATCCTGACTTGAATTCGGCGCAAAAGGCTTTCCAAAGAGTTTCGCACGTGATTGGGTAGCACTGGTTGAGGGAGGGTGAGGTTTTGAAGCGAGTAATCCTGACGCACCGCTATGACGATGAAGAGGTGAAGAAGAGCTTTCGTCTCTGCTGCTGTGCAGATTGTCCATGATTCCTAACGATATGATCATTGATGGGAAACACAAACACCGTGATTAAACTTCCAAACTCCCCACTGGATAGCGACTCTAAGAAGTCAGTTTTATTGGTATTGATCGTCTTTGTTGTTAGCATGCCAACTCCTTCAACAAGAAAAAATTACAATCAGCTATTCACTTACCTCCGTGATACGAGTGCGGCCTTGCTCTACGCCCCCCACCTCTATCATCACGATAGAGAGACGAACTTTGGTTATAGGCGCTAGCCCTCGGCGACCTTGACTCATCTGTACTGTAATCGCGGTCCCACGAAACAACAGATGAGGCTGAAGAATCAGGGCTTTGTGGGCGCAATCTTGATTGAGTTGCAGTGTGATAACCAACAACACCGTGGTCTAGATCATCCGACATGTCACTTTCTTCTCCTAAGGAACCTACGCGGTGCCTCGGTACTGTGGTCCTGGTGGTGTATGGCTCGCGTGGAAGCGCATCCCGGAAACACGTATATGAAAAGTTTGGTTTGGTTTCGGACCTCAGCGAACCATGACCGTTCATTATCACGGGAGACGACACTTCAATGTCGGGCGATCGTGTGTAATTCGTATCCCACGAGTTAAACCGAGTGGTTCCGAGCACTGAGGAGTGGCGACTCGAAGTGGTAAAGTTAACCGCTCTTGAGGATTTTGGATCTCTGTAAAAACGCTCGTCGACTGCAGGGTATTTCTCAAATTTTCTGGACAGGTCTGTTTCACTTTTGGCTCTGCCAAGTCTAGAACTACCCCATGCTTTCATTGTTTCAATCTCTAGCTTGGCTTTCTTTAATTTTGCTTTGAGACCTGCCTTTTCTTCTTCGAGTCGCCGTATGTGCTGCTCATACGTATTATTGAGTGTTTTCAACTCTATAACCTTTCCTTCCTCCCTTCCTCGTTTGGTTTTGCTTGAGTCTAAAGCTAACCGCGTAGTTGACAACTGAAAAGTAAAAACAAGTATCAGCAATGCTTCAGCTAATGACTTTGAGGAGTCTTACTTGAAGTAACCCTACCCAAGAGAAGACAAAGTGACTCACTTTACCCTTCTTTCCCTGCCTTAATGGCACTAAGACGTTTCACATAAAGGGGCTCTGATTTCAGCGACCTGGACTGCGACCAGCTCGTTAAAGCCCTTACAACAGCAAAACTAGACAAGTCTACCCGTGACAAAAGTTGGTCACGTGTGACACATAGGCTCTACCGCATCACAGCAATAGATTGAAAGCTGGGGATGCCTCCCAATCGCATTTTTAGAGATACATACACGGCAGTTTTTAAAGTAGGTATAATAAGTATACGAACCTCCGTTTCGAGATCTTTATTGATTCTTTTTATGTCATCAAGTTGCAGCTCGTTCACAGTTTTCAAACTCTCCAGCTCCTCCTTCAGCTGTTGATTTGTTCGCTCCAGTGTCCTCATGGACTCCTGTAGTGAGCCCATTTCCTCCTCTTTATCGCGCAGGGTTCGGTTGAGATTCTGTACTGTTTGCTCAAGCTCACGTGTTTTCTCGCCATCTTGTTTGGTTAGATTGGCCACAGTCTGAAAAGGAAAAAAGTCAAGCTCGCCAAGTTTCTAAGATGTTCCTCAGAAAAATGAGATTTAATACCAACAAATGAGTATTCCATTTACAGAAATCAGATTGTAGATCAAGCGAGGGACTTCTCTTTAACAATCCAAAATTTCATTGCACCCAATTAGATGAGGCACTGAGAAATATGAAATTTTTATGCAATACACCTACCTCAATGCTCAAAATCTGCTGTTGAAGGTCCTGATTTATGGACTGAGTCTGCCTAAGCTCTGCCGTCCTTTGCCTTAAGTCCCTGGTGAGCAAGTCCCTTTCCACTCTTAGAGCCTCTATCTCTGATGCTAGTCCCGCTGAAGATGCCCCGCGTTGCCCATCCACAGCGGCAAATGCACTCACATGGCTTGGGATGGCTGATTCATGAGGAAATGGGGGAGAAACGACACGAGGAGGTGAATGCTTGGGTCGACTGTGGACAGATGAAGCCGAGCTTTGCCTGCTAGAGCCCATCCTCTGGGTGGCATGTGTGGAAACTGGAGGTGTGCCTCGCCTGTGGGCTATCTCTGCGAGCAGTTCTGATGGACTTCTCGCTCCTGACCTTCTAAGCCCTGAGCTAAGAATGGTTGGAGTACCATTCTCGCTGCCTCTGTTGCTTGCCCTCGGGCTTGTTGATGGCAGTACTGGAGGAGTTCCTGGAATCGATCCATGGCGGGAAACAGTCGATGGCGTACCTTGTCTGCGGGTAGTTTCTGCTAGAAGTTCTGACTGGCTTCCTGGTGTTGATGTTCTATGAATTGACTGGTTCAGGATGGGTGTACTGTTCTCGCTTTCTCGATGGCCTGCCCTAAAACTTGATGAGGAAAATACAAGAGGTGGTACTGAGGCAGCAACATTACAGGGAACTAAAGGTGGATTGTGATCTGATGTACTTTCATCTCCTGATGTTCCATGTCTTGGATCCTCCACAACAGGCGTGCTGTTTTCACGTTCTCGGTGGTCTCCAATTAAAGTTGCTAATGGCGTAACAGGGGGAGGTGCCTCTGCTGAGCCAGTACGCGATGGTGCTGTACCTGACTCGGTAGCTGGTGCATAAATTGCCTCCATGAGAAACTGAGTCGGACTCCCTGATCCTGATGTCCTTTGTTGTGGACTGTGTGCTACAGACGTGCTATTACCACTCCCATGATCACTCAAAGGCAAATTCCTTGGAGGAGCTACAAAATGGCTGGCCCCTCTTCCAGATCCACTATGAACGGAAAGTACGGGAGTATTTCGTTGGCTCGAGTGTCTGCAAGAATCATCAGCCACTCCAAATCCCCTTGGTGGTTGGACACTGGAGCCATGAATGGAACCTGGAGGACTTCGCCTCATGGCTGGAGGGGATTGCGATCCCTCTACACCAGAAATGGGTATCCGAGGACTTTCCTGCTGCAATGAGGGGTTTAGATCTGCTAACAAACTTGCTGAAATTGGGACCATGTCTGTGAGATTTACAGACCCACCAAGGCTCTGAGGTCTTAATGGCAGCTGCGTTTGGACGTGTATGGATCCAAGAGGGTTTCCTCTTGAAGCGGGTGGCATATCCGTAGCAGACTGGCTGCGACCTCTTGGAGACATAATTGGAGTTGGTAAACCAGATGAGAACAAGGAACTGCTGTGTACTGATCCTGCAGGACTGAGTCTCTGAGGGAGAGTGTTGGCTTCACGATCACTATGCATTTCTGCACGGTTTGATGTATTGGTGCCAGTGACAGGAACTGTAACAGTCTCAAGAACAGAACCCACGGGACTAGTCCTAGATGAGGAATGGGCATATTCCACAGCAAAACCTTCAGTAGAGGTCTGAACTGCAGAGGATCTATGGACCGTTTCTTCCGTGGGGAGGTGACCTCCCCCTGGCGTGATCCGTGGAGACGTGTGTGGGGATATAACATTTGTGTGTTCTTCAGTAAATTGATTTCCACTTATTGGAGGTGGACTTCCATGCCTCAGGGTCTCATCTGGTAAGGGACTTATTACGACGTCATCTCTTGCGCTTACTTCACTTGGTACACTGCGAACACAAATGACAATAAATGCTCTCAGAAATAAAAAGGTATGAATTGAAAGTGTTCTTTCAATTATTGACAAAAATAAACAGAACGTGGATTATTATAAGAATAATGAGCCAAAACAAAGCAATTGAAATCTTGCTAACCTATTAGCAGGGCTGTTTCGTGATGATAATCGACTTTCATGCTCACTATGGCTACTAGGGACTGGAGATGAGGATAAATGGGCTGCTGGAGGCCTGGAACTTTCCTGTACTTCCTCTGCTTCATTTTCTGCTAGTTACAACCCAATTTATAAAAAATAGTCTACTTTGTATTGTAATGAAAACAAGACAAGCATTATTGATAAAACTCCAAAATGACAAATATCTTTACACAAAACTCTACCGTAATGGTTCACTTAACATAAGTCAGGTTGGTATGCTTGGTGATTCCAAATTGATATTTTTGTAACATCTGGATGGCAAATGGCTTTCGAGAAAAAACACCCTTTCAAAAAGCTCAGAATGAAAATTTCTGTCATGCTTTTCCTTGACAGTTTGAGTAAATTGGCATTTCACCCGCTATACCTTCAAGTAACTACTTTTGTTGGATGGGGTTAGAATCCTGCTTAATTTCTGGGACCAAAAAGATAAAGCTTATGCCAGAAAGTTATAAAGGATGCTAATAATACAGTTCAAAGTATCTAACCACTTTGATCCTGATCCTCTTGCTCCCCAGCATGTGACTGAACACCGTCGCTTTCACCTGAAAGGTCTCCTGGCAGGCCCTCCACCTCATGTCCTGCTTGTAAAGGGACAGGACGTATTGGGAGTGGACTCTGTGGTTGTAACTCCTCCATGGAATCTGGCTGAGGTGTCAGAGAAGGGGACTCGTTGCTGCGTCTCAGGCCAGCAAGATCACTGAAATCCACTTCTGACATTACTGGTGACTGAACACCACTTCCAGGGACCCAAGAAGGTGCACCATGGCTTAGCTGCATAGAAACAAAGTAGTGATATTGTTTGATTTACAGGAATTTAAAGAGCCATATTCAGAGAACATAAGGTAATTACCTACCTTGCTTACTGCAAAAAGATTGTACTAACTTCAGAAATACTGATTCTTCCACCCAAAGTCTGTTTTGTGTGTAAGAGTGAATTTCTGATAAAGTTTTAGAAAACACATAATTGCCAGACATCATCAAGTTATAAGATTGCACAACCACATACAAAGACGTAAAATTATTCCTACTGAACAACACTTCAAAAACAAGTTTATCAGTGCAAAAGCTTATAGCATTATCCTTCTTTATTACGATGATCCATGATCCAATTGAAAATTAAAATTGAAACATGCATCATCAACATGCATGCTAAATGTTTTTTTCCATTCTACATGAACTAACCCTTAATTACCATTCTATGTTAAATGGTTGAAAAAATGGCCTCAACATTGTAAATGAAAAGAGTTCTTGCCTGAAGATCCTGTTATATGACTGAAGAGTTGTTGAAATTTTGATGGTACAATGTTGAAATTCACACTGTTTACAAAACTTTAACTAAAGCAACATTAACTTAAAAATAATTAAGGAGATTTACATTTTAAAGAAGATACCATTAACAATTTAGTTATACTGACATAAAATACATTATAATTGAAAGCAATTTATTTTACATATTTGTTTTGTCTTCATCTGATTTTGGATAACTAAAAACTTCCCAAATGAAAATTTTAATTTATATACTAAGAAAATAATTACCAGTATTACAGATCATCAAGAATGCACTAATAATTTACAAGCACACCATGGGGTACCTCTTGTGTTCAATGACAACAGTGTGGTTAATTATCATGATTGTTAATGAATACTTAATGATTGGAAGTCAAAATAAAATGCTTCTTCACAATGAAGACAACTAATTAAAAATATTTACCTCAATTCAGTACAGCAACTGTGACTACAATACTACCAAACACTAAATCCATAACTCTTCAACTCTCGAAATCTGATTGCTAATTCTCCTCTCTAGCTGCTGCACATTTCCTTGTAATTTAGTTCTCAGAATTTAGTGTTAGATCAAAACAGCAACTTCTACCTGATAACATTGAATATTCTTATTATCTGTTTGTCAAGAGAGGTACAAATGTTCTGGGAGAGGTTGCATCTCAATCACTTCTGGGAGTAACAAATACTTAATTTTATGACTGGAAGAATATTGCCAATCAATAGTTCTGTTATTGACACTGAAAAAATCAGGTGCATCAACAATTATGTTGTAAAGATCTCACCATCTCTACAAAATTAATAGTCAAGAAAGCAATTTTTTTGGACTATTAAATGGATGTACACAAGTAGGCTAAACTACTTTGCAGTTTTAGGTAATATTATTATTTTTATGTCAACTTAGCTTGCACAACCATGTCCAAATAAACAAAGCTAACCCTTTAACTCCCAGGGCCCAGTTGTTTGAAGGCCAATTAACATTAACCCAGTGTTAAATTTTAATCCAGGTTTCTTTATTCCTCTGTTCAAAAGCCTTTTTGGGAAAATTTTCGCTATTCTTTTTAAAAATACAATCATTTAATTGTAGACAAAATACTTTAAATCGAATTTTTCCTTTAATACTTTCAGATATGAAATCAAATTTTTCGCTAACCCTGGGTTACCTTAGCCCAGCTTTGAACAACCTGGCCCAGAAGTGAATAGCATGTAACTACTCAATGGTTACTCATTCGACTTCATCACCTGTAGAACACTTGCAGCATGCAGTCAAAATCTCACAATCCACATCCAGAAGTGACCAAATTGTGAGAAAAACAAAATCATTTCTCTACTAAAGTGTTATATACCATAATGACAAACCACAACCTATTTACAATGTAACCTCTCCTTACACTATCCATACATTATCCAGCAAACAGGTAATGAGAATATTCCAATTTGTCAGGTACAACTTGCTAACTTGATCTTACACCAAAATCTTATCACTTCTTCACAATGAAATGTATAACAGCCAGAGGGGAGAATTAATAATAATAATAATAATAATAATAATAGTAAAGGGCGAAAATATCCTTTGCCATTCTACGTTCAGCTTTGCTGTGTCTCAGAGGAACCAGGAGAAAGAGAAGAGTAGCCAATTTATCTGAGACTGACATTACATCCGAAAGTGCGCAAGCCAGAATTTAAGTAGTCAATTTTTTAGTATGTAGCTTATGTAAATGCGCGACTTTAATTGTGTGACTTGAAGTTTGCGTGACATTTCAGTTACAGTTGGCCTTTGTGCCATTTGAGCCTTTCGGATAGTTTTTCTTTCTTTAGTTGTTGCATCGCACGCTCCTTTACTGTTCACTGTTATGTCCGGCGTCCATCCTAAGGTTACTTCTTAAGTTTTGATTTCAAGCCACCGACGTATAGGGACCGATATGTAAGTTGCATTCGTTTGTTCTCACTCTGTAGCTTGCCTCATTTATGCAAGGTAGCGTTTCTCTTGATCTGATTTTATGCTTTGTGTGTGTGTTATTTACTCGCCGCCGTCGTATCGTCTAGCGGCTATTTCTAGTCATAATTTTCCTTTATCTCGTTTCGAGCAAGCTCTTTCATCTTTAT